AATTATATTAAAATAATATAACATTAATTATTTAAATATAATTTCAACGAATTATAGATATAAGTGAGAGTGAAAGATACAAGTGAGAGTGAAAGGAGATTAGTTCTTTTAAGTAAAATCTAGAGTTTAAATCTTATAAATAAAAAAATAAACGCAGATAAAACTTTTTTTATAGGATCCAATATGATTCAATATGGATTGATTTCATATTAATTAGAATTTAATATGATTATGAAATAAAAAAATTAATAAAAAAAACTATTTAGATATAATAATAATCTCCTACTCCAATCATAATTACAACTTACAAGAAAGTTAAGACATAATAATGCCAACATGTGCATCATTCAGATCTTAACTCAAAACAAGCATCAACCACAGACAACTCGAAGATTTTATCACATAAGGGTTGTTTCTTGGGGTCAGTGGTTTCCGGGTACCCCATTTTGGGATAGTCCCGGAGATCAAACCGCTAGAAACCCTCTTATGCTCTCGGATAAGGTGTATACCTTGATCCAAAGCAGGAAAACAAAGAAGAGAAGTACCGGAATCTCGCCGGAGACACTGCCGGGAATCGCCTTCTCCGATCTCTCTCTCTCTTGCCACCCTCTTTTCTTTTTGTTTCTGCTATCTGACTGCGCCCTCTCTCTGCCTAAAATTTCCTAATAACAGGAACTATTTATACAAGAATTCCCCAAAACCCTTAAATTTCCTGATCTCTCATCCACACTTAGGATTAAGGTATAAATTAAAAATATTTTTTATTATAAATATATATAAAAATATAAAAATTGATATTAATTTTTATTTTTAATATAAATTTATAAAAAAATTTTAATACACTCTTAATTTACATCTTTATTATACAGGTTAGAAAATTTTAATTTCTTATTTTTTCCGCAGACCTTTGGCTGCTGTGGGGCCATCTGGTTGGAAAAGGAGCACAGAAGAGAGCGAGAAAGGAAGGGAATTGATGGACATTTGCTTTTGGGCAGTGCTTGGAGCGTTCGCCTCTGCTCCGTCCAGCCAACATATGCTTTTAAATGTTAACGTGCCTTAGTTATATTTTT